TGTAATGCAATTAGGGGACGACAACAATGTCAAATTGAGACATGTGCAACTACTGTGCGGAAATGTGAAGAGAAGTGCATCCGCAGAAAGGGTTGGGCCCGCAAGCATTGAGAAATCTTACACTGCCACAAATGCGAGACAATGTAACCACATTGTGGAAAAATCATTGTGTAATGACAAACAATTACAACCTGACACCAAATGGTAAAATTGACAATGCGATGTTTATTGGTAAAAGCTTTTGGAATGGCCTCGTGTTGGCAATCGAGACTAAATAAATAAAGTTCGTTCATTTACAATATTTGATTAGATTTATATATTGTATAAATTAGGTCGGAATTATTATTTAACGAAATGATAGCTTGTTGTCTTTGGACAGAAAATATTATTTGAAGCTGATATTATTTTACCCCAGGCAATAACAGAATTTATTTAATTAATGCACATAAGTACTTTGTATATTCAACACAAGAAGAAACAATTAATATTTTATTTATGTTTGTATGTATGCTATAAAAGTTGTAAAGGCTAATATTTATTTTAAATAATTGAATTTTATTTTTGCAATTTTCAATGTGAAATCAAAAATGACTTATTAAAAGTAATATCTTTAAGCATTGATTCCTAAGTTCACAGTTGTATAATGCTTAATATTTTATCAAATTAATAAGCAGCTTGTAAGCAAGGAACAAGAAAAAAATGTAAGTAAATTTTTTAAATACATATTTAAATATTATGCTTCGAAAAAGTTACGAAATTGTTTTGGAACTTTTTTTTATATTTTTTGTTTAAGATTTTTTGAGCTCTTGTATTTATTTATTTATGATTTTGAAAAATCTAATTATGCTCAGTTAAAAATCTTATAACCTTCATAACATTAAAAAAAGTATAATTTCTATTAAAAGAGATATAGTAATGATGATAAGTAAAGTCTTAGAAATTGGCAAGCTCCCAACAATTAAAACTAGTTTCCATTAAGCTACCACAATAAATGAGCTAATGCTATTCATTATTATCAAGCTCGAAAGCATTTCTTCAACCAACTTCAGTTTAATATTTCACATCGAATGGTTTCTTGACTAAGCCAAACTCCCACAATAACGTGTGATATAAATACATTATGATATTGAATTAAGTAGATGGAGTCAGCTTTATAATTTGTTTCTTTTATATTTATATAGATGTTTATGTATATCTATATAGGTGTATATATACCCTTGTTGCTTTTAGCTATTGATGAAGCCAAGTGGCATCGCCTCGGCGGCGTTTGTCATTGCAAAAGGCGGGCGTCGGCATATCAAATGGTGCCAGCTGACAGCATAGACAATGTACAATTACCGGAGACAAGTTTTGGGCTTGGCCCACTCGAGCCAGAGGCTCTGCGATGCTGTCATCAGCATCTCCAATCATCCATGTATGTACATTAGACGTACGCAGCTATCGCTTGGCGCGTGATTGTGATCATGGGCAACAACTTGACGCCGCCAAGCACCACTCGATGGCTGCCGCCTTTGTGCGGTGGCTGTCAACGCATCAGGCCACAAAATGGCGTCCATTTCTAATGCGGCCCTTGGCTGTGGCATTATTGAATGGCGGCAAATCGATTTGCAACGTTTTAATTGCCGCACAAATTGAGCCAAGAGGCAACTTCATTTGCTCCGGCATCGTGGACATTATTCGGATTTCGTATTCGATATTTCGTAATTCGTATTTCGTATTTCGTATTCTGGGTGGTCGCACAAGGCCACTTGGAGTGCGAACGTGCCTCGGGCACTGGCCAATTGACAATTGCCAATTGCCAATGGCCAATGCTCGGGCCAGGGACAGGTCATTAAACGGCAACCCCCCGGCCAGCCAGGGGTAGCACTCGCTGCTCGTAGGGGTGCTCCTGGCTGACTGCTGGCTGCTGGGCAGTAAATGGCTCACTTTTGGCAGACGTTGTGCACTGCCTGCTGCTTAATCAGCCAGGGGCAGAACCAGGGGCTAGAGAAGATGCCACCCTAGTTGCGGAACCGATACGTTTAATTGTGGCCTAAAACTGACACACACACACAAACACACACACAATGATAGACATAGACAAGTCCGTTGTCTAGCTGAGTGAAGGCGACAATATATCCATCAATCTGAGCTCGCAGGATAACACGCTTGCCATCCTTGTCTATTCCTGTTGCTCTTGCTGTTGCTGTTGCTGTCGACCGCCCGCTGTGACTTTCACAAAATATTTTGGTTGTACGCAGTGCGGATTCGTGCAATTATGGGCCTGTTTGTGGACAATGTGTGTCGAATGCTGAGCGACATGAACCGGGCCACAGCACACATCCTGGCCACCGCCATGTATCCTGCGGCGAGCTGTTGCCAAAACACAGCCAACTTGGCCGAGTCGAGCAACAAGTTCTATGGTTGACCAGAAGATAAGACCCGAGAGGAAAAAAAAAACGAAAATAAAGGAAACGAAAAAGGAAAAGAGAATCTCACTGCGTTTGCTGGCCAACCCACCACACACTGGCCAGGACAGAGCCGCAGGCTGTCCCAGATATTGAAATATCTGCGGGGACGGGGTCGAGGCGTGGCAGGAGGGCGCGTCCCGTATACTTCTGCTGCCACCTAGGACGCCACAGCTGAGACGCAATGCAATGTAGACATCACTACTTGCCCCTTGCCAATAATACCTTTCCATTTTGCATGCCACATTTGCCAGTTGACAGTTGACAGTCGACAGTCGACAGTTGGCCCAAAATCAATTGTACATGGCCATAATGGCCAATGTCATCAGAGAAAATAACAATAACAAACAAAAATTGTGTAGAAAATTGAAGCAGCAAATGAGCCAGCAGCTGGACCAATCAAACAGCAGAGTTTCGGGCAACCCCTAAAGGCAAGAGAAACCTCAATTAAAGACAAACTCCAGATAGCCATCGAGGCACAGCACAGTTCCTGGTAATGCGCGTGCTAATGGCAATGCAATGGAATGCAGTTGCTAGTTCTAGATCTCTCGCACAATTGCCAATTGTCGATTGTCTAGATCTTCGCATTTGGCACGTTCCTAACCACTGTGCCTTGGCTATTCAGTGGACGACGCACTTCTATAGAACTGGCAAGCACGACGACCACACCCAAAAATAAATAATGCCCGTATAGCAACATCGCCATCAACATCAACGACAGCAGAATGCGAGCATCAAATACAAAAGTTATCGTAAATTAAGAGATCTGACAGTTTGAAGCTGTACCAGTTGCCTTATAGGGCCTTAGTATCTGGCTAAATTGGAATCTTGTAAATTAATAGATGCCTCAAATATGAGAAGCGATTTGAGTTATGAATTTGCCTAATTCAAATCGCTTCATTGCTGACAGCATCTCAAAATTTCAGCCGCTGCGATGTGGGTGAGAAACAGACTGAAAATTATATTGAAATAACTTTTAATTGGACAAAGTTTTGGTTTTTGAATTATTATTTGCATATAAAAATAAAAAGCATTTAACAATAAATTTATTACATATTTTCTATTTATATTGGAGCTATCAAGAAAACAAAAAATTCATTACACAATGAACTTTTGCCCAAAAATAAAGTACATCGAATAATAGGTTGCCTAATGCTCAAAATGATCGGAAAGAAAATTAAATTTTAGAAAAATATTTAACAATAAACATTTGCCGCACCCAAAAATATTCCACTTTGGGCGCAAGTGGAGCTATGTAGAAGAAAAACTTATATATTACTTGAATATATTTGGGCTCTATTATGAATACCCCATTTAGTATACTGGGTTTTTCTTAATAAGTTGCTTTTATTTTATTGAGTGTCAATAGTCGTAGCCTTCTGCATTAATATTTTCAATATTCTACTAAGTATATATTAATTTTTTTAAATATCAAAGATATGTCAAATAAATTCCTTATATTGTATTGTCTGAAATATCATAGTTATATCATACTCAGCCCTTAAATATTGTCTTAATACTTACATCATACAGTAACTATAAATACAAAAAAAAAAAAAAAAAACCCCAAATGGAATAGGTAAAATGAAAACCCAACTTTTGGCAAAGTACGTCAGCTGTTTTGCCCAGAAATTCGTCGTATTCCAGTTAAGATAAACAAATAAGGTTTAGTTTATACAATTACGCATAATTCATATATTTTGCGATAGCTTTTGTCTTTATCATACATAGACCATATATAATACATGCACATATAGGTATATCTTTATACAGACATACGCACATCTAGAGCTAGACTAAGATAATGAGATCGTCGATTCTTTGTGTGTAGAACTCTTGTTTGTGTCATTGGGGCAAAAAGCATAACACTTAACTAAAATTAACAAACATTCAATTGATTTATATATGTATATATATCGATATAGGTATATATATGTTCTTGTATTTAAATGCATTAAAATTAAAATAAAATAACAAATTATGATTGCAATTGTAATTATAATTGTACAGTCTTTGAATGACCGATGAAGGTCTGAGGTTTTCTCTGGGAATTGGTATTGGTGCGTTATAAACAGAATGCGTCTACTACTGGCTATAAGGTACATACGATAATATAACTATATATATATATATAGTAAATGGATAGAGACTTAAGATTAAAGTACAGTGGGGCAAAAGCGATATCTAATGCCATATTTATTTTGGAATTGTTCTGTTTCGCAATACTTTTTACTAAGTTTCCATTTGATTTGTGTCTAGTTTGTCTTCCTTTGGCTTTTTGCAGTTTGTAGCGCCAATGCGACAGCTATATAGCATCGGGTCTATATGGAACGTCGATTGGGCTAGTTGTGACTGGTTGGGTTCCTGGGCTCCAGGAACTGCCTGTGCTTCACTGGGGCAACGGCGGCGGCGACGATGACGGCGGCTGTGTGGGCGAGTAGGTGAGCTGGGGGCGTAACCTGCGACTCGAACTCAAAGTGGGCGGCGCTGAAGCTGGAGCTGGATCTGTAGCTGTAGCTGAAGCTGAAGCTGCGCTGACTGCTACTCCGGGCCAGGCACTTCCCATGCCTGGCGGCGCTCAGCATTCTGGATGCGGCTGCATCCTGAACATAAAACCAATAAATTGCGATCAGCTGACCAATCTATCTGCTCATGATCTCATCGATGGTGAAGCCCAGCGTGCGCTTCGGACGCTCCGCGGTGGCTCCACCAGACGAGGACAGATCCAAGGCGGGCGTATTGTGATTGGAACCGGGACTGACCAGCTGAACAGGCTGCACAGCAGCGCTCAGTGGCTGGCTGGGGCGAGGAGCTGCTGCTCCTGCTGCTGCAGCTGCTGCTGCTGCCTGAGCCGCTGTGGCCGATTCGCTGTGGCTCTGCAGATGACTCTTGAGATTCGCACGCTGGTTGAAGCTGCGCTGGCAGATGGGGCACTTGTGGGGGCCCTCCTCCAGGTGGGTGACCTTGTGCACGGCCAGCGTGCGCGACTGGCAGAAGCCCTTGCCGCAGTCGTTGCACTTGAAGGGCTTCTCCTTCGAGTGGATGTAGCGATGATCGCGCAGATGATCCTGGCGCCTGAAGGCCTTGCCGCAGATGTCGCAGGAATAGGGACGCTCGTCCGTGTGGGTGCGTTCGTGGATGAGCAGATTGTAGGACTTGGTGAACTGGCGATTGCAGTACTTGCAGATGAATTGCTTCTTGGGCCGGCTGCTCCCACTGCCGCCTCCGGCTCCGGCTGCTGCGGCACCGCTCAGCTTCAAACTGGGCATGACTCCAAAATGGCGAGCGGCGGCATGCAGCGTATGCAGTCCAGCGGGATAAGGGCGCATATGGGGATGGCCATGGGCATGAGGATGACCGTGATGGTGCGGATGATGGGGATGTGGGTGCGGGTGCGGGTGGTGATGATGACCAGCTGCAGCAGCTGCTGCCTGTTGTTGCTGCTGCTGCTGGTAGAGGGCGGCATTGCGTATCCATTGGTTCATGAGCAACGCCTGCTGGTGCACGGCCACGGGATCAGCATTAGCTCCGGCATAAACCGGATAATGGCCATGTGGATGCTGCTGTTGCATCTGCAGCCAGAGGCGATGGTGTTGCTGATGCTGCTGCTGCTGCTGGTGTTGCTGTTGATGCTGCTGTTGCTGTTGTTGCTGCTGTTGTTGCTGATGTTGCTGGTAGTGCGCCATGTGTCGCAAATGTAGCTGCGTGGCCACTGCCTCATCGGCGGCTGTGACTGAGCCAGTGCGTCGCAGCGGCTCCTCGGTGGGCGTGTGCGGTGGCGTCAACATTGGTGACAGGCTGCTTTCGCGCTCCTCTTTGATAACTATGAAATCGTCCTCGACAAAGTCTGAAGATTGCGCAAGAAAAAAGAAGCGAAATATTGTGATTTAGTTCAATTGTTCTAAAAACTGTGCTAAATATCAAGCATTTTAGCTCGCTCAACTCGCGCTTGGAGTAGGAGAGCAAAAAGCACTTTTAAGTTCTCTCCCTTTCGCACTGCTTTGCCGTCGGCTTTTTCTCGTGCTTACCTTGCTCTCTGCTTATGTTAAGCTCGTCGTCCACGGTTATGTTGCTGATGGGCGAAGCTGAAGTGGAAGACATATTCCCTTTTTGTGTCTTCGTTAAAGTTTGTTGTTCTTAGTTTGTGTGTTTGTGTTGTTAGCACTTGCGTTATTGCTTGTTCTTTTCTTGTTCACACTGTCACTTTGCACTAACTGTAATATTTGTTCTTTTTGCTTTGGTCTCTGGTTTTTACGTCTTTTTCAATTGTTGTTTTGTGTTTGCTGTTATGCGCTCTTCTCTTTGATGCGACGTGCCCACGACAACGTCTCAACTCAAACTGAATTCTGCTTTCGTTTTGTTACTCTCCGACTCAAACTCGTGAAAATATTCGACGACTCAAAGCGTATATCAAGTGCGCTCTTGCCCTCTCGCTCTCACTTATCCACTCTGTTCAACTGATAGCGTGTATGCGTGCGTGTGTATGTGTTTGTGTGTGTGCATTGAGTGAAGTGACTTCTGCTGTGGCTGCTGCTGCTGCTGCTTCTGCTGCTGGTGCTGCTGCTGCTGTTGCTGTAGCTGTGAGTAGCGCTCGTTAATAACTGAATGCAACTGCGGCGTCGTCGACCGGTTTTGAAGCGAACCAACAGCAGCTGCCTTTTTGCCGTCGTCGTCGCTCGCTGTTGTTATTGTTGTTGTCGGGGTTGAATTTATTTGGAAATGGCAGATACGTACACGCCTACCTGCTGCCCAACGAAGCGCTCCGATTGGCTGATGCCAACTACCAGCGGCTGCCGTATCTGTTTCGGGTCTTTGTTTTTGTTTTTGTATACTGTGTTGTGTGCTTGTGTGCGCTTTGCGCGCGTGTTCGGCATCGTACAGGGACGACTCCACGACCCAGCCACTCGGCAGCATCGCCTCTCGTTCTCCCGTTCTCTGGCCGTGCTGCATGATGCTTGCTGCTCACTGGCAGTCAGCAAGCGGAAACTGTTGGGCTGATGGTCGGACGCCGTTGTCGGCTGCCGTAGCTGCCGATGCTGCTGCTGCTGCTTCTGCTGCTGCTGCTGCTGGCAGGCAGCCATCAGCCCGGAGACGACCCGCATCCCACCCAGGCGCATGCCCCGGCCAGCTGGCCCTGCATATCCTGCTCCTGCTGCTGCTGTTGCCGGTTGCTGATGCTGCCGTTGTTGCTCGTGCGGCTTTTTGCCTCGCCCCAGGATATTGTAATCTATTGTCCTTCTTTTTCTGCTCCTTTTTTGTTTTTGCATGTGCGTGTGCCTGATTCGTTTTCATTTAAATTTTAATTTGCCACACAAAATCGGAAATCTCTTTTTTGACTGCCTCCCACGTTTTACACTTTCGCAGGAAAATTCAATTAGCCGGATCAAAGCAATTGTTGTCTAAACTCATTTTTCGCTCGGGGTGTACGCGTTTCCTCCTCATTTATTCTGAATTTCCGTTTTCAAAAAGTACACAAATTACATTTGGCAGTTCATTTCAACAGCAAATTAATTAAATTTATTGTTGATTTTAAAAAAATTCAATTTGAAAATACTATTTACATACACGAATAATATATATTATTATTAAAAATATACTTAAGTTAATTAGTAAAGTTAATTGCGCCTTCCGTTGCCCATTGCCAATTGTTTGTAATGAGTTTGACATTTGAGGCGCTTTAAACATTTCATTTAAAACCTGTACAAAAAAAAAAATAAATAAATAAAAATAAAAAACTATCTTTAAAATATGTTTATAGCTAATTGAATTGACTGCGAGTCAAGTAGCGGCACTTTATCGTTTCCGTACAACAGCGAGAAGGAAGGAAAATCATTTACTCAATTTTCTATAATTTTCCTCTTCTTTTCAGCTGCGGCTATTGCCAATAATAATGTCAATTTGTCAGTAGATAATGATTATTTAATGCAGCAAATTGATGCACACAGATTTGCTGTCATGCTTAAACCTGCCATAGCGAATCGCTAAACCCGAAGCAGTGAAGTTCATGTGGAGCGCGTTGTAAGAGAACAAAATTGAAAAAGTATAATATTTAAAAAAATTGCACTAAATGGAACTCAAGTTTTGTAGATGTATATTGACAACATAAACAAAAATGATTTAAAAATAGTATGCTTCAAAATAAATTTATGTACCATTTAACAATTTAACGTAAAATATAAATATAAATGAAATTCAGCTATAAAACATAAGCATATATTTATCTTATATTTTTTTGTTCTGCACAGAATATTTGTTTTTTAAGTATTTGTTTTTCTGTACCAAATATAAAATTATAAAATGAAAATGATTTTATTGAAATTGAATATATGTTTATTTATTATTTATATTTATATTAAGGAAACTTAATTTAGAATAATGTTATATTAGAAAGCCTTTTAAAATTACCGATTGTTTTTAATTGCATTTAGGACTTTCAATCTCAATTAAGCAACTTTAACAATGAAAGGTCTGTTCACTGTTTGTTGTTATCGAAAGTGATTTTGCTTTCGGCGGATACTTGAAATCGGGAACACATTTTATTAGGCTTATCAGCAAGGCAGAAAGTAAAATAAAGTAATTTCGAGCTATAAACTATACAAATGTTAAGTAGAAATACTAATACTATATACATGTATGAATATATATACATACAATAGATAGATAACAAATTTCTTGGATTTTGATTTGAAAGCAATAGAGAAGCCAGACAACGGCAAAATAGTTTTTTTTTTTCTTATAGATTGCGAAAGAAGACATAAAATAAAACAGATAAAACATATTATGTTAAGAAATATAAAATGGAAAATAGACTAATTTAATCAGAATTACAATTACTGCATTCAATTTGTATTGAACATAAAACATAGATATAATAATATAATATGCATTTTTATAAAATATTTAATATTAAATATATAAATTATTTTCGTAAAATTCTATCCAGATTTTGTTTGTCTATTTTCTTTTGGCAAATTATTCTATATAATATGAATAAATTCCCCATTATTCCATTTCTTTCGAATCCCCTCATCCATAGCCAAACTTCTGTTGGCCACATTCAATGATTTTCGTGGTTTTACCGCACATTAATGCAAACAGCAAATCCATCAATTAACTAATAGTTTTCCCAGCGGATATTAGCTCTGGCCCTAAGCCAAATCCAAGCACCGACTAAGTCCGTTTCAAGTCAACAGAGACTTGCCTGTGCCCAGCTTAGTGGCACACTTTTCCTGCTCTCACACGGCTGGACTTAGTCGAAGGAGTCACTACTGTGCCGCGGCAAGCCAATTACAAAATATTTACTCAACAATTTTTCGTCGATTTTCCCAATTCTCTAAGACAACAGGCGAGTCAAATGCAAAGTCAACTGGCTAAATCAAATATCCTAGCTAAGCAAAAAAAAAAAAAAAAATCTCTAAAATTCCCAATTTCACATATGTGTCTCCGTGTGCTGTTGCTGTTGTTGTTGTTGTTTCTTTTGGCTAGCAGCTTTCTTGTGGCAACTGGCAAACGCCGCCGTGTTGACACTTGACAAACAGTCGGCGAACTTTTCCATTTCAAAGTGTTTCCCACAGCCAATCGGAGTGCACGCGGAGTAATTAACATCATGTCATAAGTGTACAAAAAATACAACAACAACAAAAGAAAATAAATAATAATAATAGATAAAAACACAAACACAGCTCGCACTGAGTCAGATGAAAGACCCAGACCGAATATTTCCCAGCGCACACACACGCACACAGCTTTGATATATGGCAGCAACTGTCAACTTCCTGTGAGCAGACGACACATGTAGAAAGGATTAACTTGACACACACATGCACATACATCTGCTGTTGTTTATTTGCATAAGCATCGAGTCGAACACGGAAACGGAAATTGTCCGCCTTGACTTGATCATAAAAAGAGCAGCAAGCGAGAGAGAGAAAGAGAGAGAGAGCGAGAGATTCCAGGCCCAAAACCTGGCCAAGGATGCACTAATAAAGAAGTCATTAGGCCATAAAACCATAAAAACGAGCCAAAAAGCAAAGCAGGCAACAGCAAACGGCAAACTGCAAACGGCAAACGGCAATTGCTCGACATTAGTAGCTCGGGCTGCCTGCGCTCTGGGTTTTTGGGCGCACAAAAAATGTAGAGCATAAAAAATATAACAACGAGAGCAGCAGCAGCGAAAAAAAAAAAATAAAATACAAATACAAATAGAAATAAAACAAAATCATCATAAAACACACAAATTTGACAATTCACTTGGCTTTTTGGCCTTTGCTGCTGCTGCTTCCTCCTCCTCCTCCTCTGCATTTTTTGTACCATAAAAACTGTCTTCGCAGAAGACCCTTGACCTTAGCTATCGTTGGCCTGGTTTTTAGCAACATTTGCGACAAACAATTTCATTATCCAACTGCCTCGTTTACGATTTCATTTGTTTTTTGCCATTTCGGCGAACAAAATTAGATTTTTTAGTGCAAAGTCGCGTTTGTCACCCAAAAACATTTCACGGCCCAACGCATTTCGTTTGGTTTTTTTTTTCGTAACTTTCAGATATTGATGTTTTTTCACACTAAAAATGTCAGTTCTTTTATTTTTTTGTGAACTTATTTTATGCCCTGTTTTGGCTGTGTTTTTAGAGCACTTGAAATGGCCTTCAAATAATTCTTTGAAGTTTCCAAATAGCTCAATAAAAAAATGTAGATCTTCTTCTCTTTTTCTTTTTTTTTTTTTTTTTTGCATATGCCTGGAATATAGAACAAAGATACAATAATTAAAAATTTATGAAAAAATGTAATACAAAAATAATGAAAGAAAACACATACATATAGAAAAGGAAATACATATGTTTATATATATATTTAAAAGTTAAATAGTTTTCGTAGTTGCCAGAAAAATTAAAATCACAGTAAATCATGTCATGTGCATACATACATATATGTATGTATTTAGTAAATGTAAGTTGGAAAATGGACTCAATATATATATACATCAATATATACATATA